CTTTTCTAACCAATCAAGATAGTTGGAAGATGAGTTGGCGATGAGTTGGGAATGAGTTGGAGATAAGTTGGAGATGAGTTGGAGATGAGAAATGAGCCAGTGCTCGTTTAAATTCAGAATAAGTAGAAGTTCAACCAACATAGTATATTATTATTATTACTAGTACTTATTTGTTTTTTTAAAACATTTCTTAATAAAAAAGAAACTTTTTTGTTTACCTTGAATTTTTAGAGAAATAAGCAAAATGCCGCCTAGCTCTAAAAACTTACTAATACAAGGTTCTCCACTTCAAGCTTGTACCTTAATTTGTCACCCTCTTCAAGAGATTAAGTAGCAAAATAATGGTTTACAAACCAATAGTTTAGAGGTTATTGACAATTATCCGAACATTCTTGTAACTAGACTTGATGAAAAAAAAAAAAAAAAAAAACCTTTATAAAATCTTTTAGCTTGGATATTATCCTTCGAATGTTAAAAAACTCAAAGAAGTTGTTATCTAATTCCTAACAGTTATTTAGTTGGTGCTAAAATTCGTGGTGTAGAAATTGTTGCTGAAACTCGGTATGATTCCAGTAATGAAATAACCTATACAATAACATGGAATAGTCAAGATAAAAAAAAGAATTCAGTATTAAGTAATAAATCCGCAAGTAACGTTGCAACTTTGTTTTTTCAAGTTGGTATCAAATTAATTAAAAAATTGATTTAATATGTAATATGTATATGGTATATACTTACTAATATTTATTATATTAAAATAGAAATTATATAATCATAATAAATCCCCACTTAATTTGATGTAAATAATATCTCCATTTCATTTACTTAAATCAAAATCACAAAAAAACAAATAGCTTAAGGCCTTGGCTTGTAACCTTCGTAATGAAATTGAATCTACAATTCAATTACATAATTTTTATAGTACTGAATTAAAATCTATAGAATTAAATATAAATGAATTGCATGTTAATTTTCAAAATTTAAATTCTAAAAAAAATGAATCATATCAACTTCTAGATTTGATTGTCTGTGCTTGTGATGAACTTCTAATTTCCCGTGATAGGTATCATCAGCTTGCTACTATTATACCTGAGATGGAGCATGCTTATAAAGTTGAAGAGCATTGTCAAGAAATAACAAAAATTATGAACAATATAATCCCAGTTCATACAGTTCAAATAAATTCTATAACTCCAAATAGAGCTTACCGGTCACTTAAAAACATTTTACTTGCTTTAATTCCTGAATTAGTATATGGTGTTTCACCAACATTACATATAGGAGATATTATTTACATCAAATTAAGTGGGGATAGGTGACAAGTTGGTAAACATCATAATCATGTAATGTTTACTGCTTGTATACTAAATGAATATGACGCAGTTTTAAGTTTATCAAATCAACATTGTATTTTCCTATATACTGGTACAGAACAATATGACTTACTTAATCAAGCTTTCAATTTTTTAATTGATGAGTTATTAACTTTAAATGTAGAAGGAATCGTTGATTCAACTAATAATTATTGGAAAATTGAATTTTGGTTTGGTTCTGATTGGAAATTCATGTCTTTAGTTCTTGGTACAAAAGGACCAATGGCAAATTATTTTTGTTTATATTGCGATTGTAAAAATACAGATCGTTGGAATATAGATTTAAACTACGAAAATTTGTGTAATATTTTAGGACAAAAAAAACCAAACCTTTTGCCATTTTTAGCAAATCAGCATTGTGTACCAGATGAATTACACATAATGCTTCGAATTACTGATGTTTTATTTAAATGTCTTTTTTTAAAATTATCAACTGAACCTACATTCAATAAACGATTAAAAAAAATAATAATGAAATAACAATTCGCGAACAAATAGAATTAACTATTCATTCTATTGGTGTTACAATTTTTAAATTTAAAGAACCTGAAACACCAAAAGGAAAATAGCATTGGATATTGTTAATGGGACCAGACAAATTAGTAATTTTGAAAAAATTTCCAATTAGTTTACTTATTCCAAGTCAACGAGATAAAGATATACAAGAACTTTGGCATGATTTTTATTACTTATACAAAACAATGCATAGAGTTGATTTGACAGATGATGATATCAATAATTTTGAAAATCTGGCATGACAATGGGTTAAAAATTTTTGTCAACCAACAGTAGGGATAAAAGAAGGGTCCTAGGACAAAATTACCATAATGTATTCAGAACGACCTCTAACCTCTTTTACAAAC